CACAGTACGAGTAAACATTTTAATAAATGGCGGTTAATGTTGCCTCAATGTAAAAAAAGAAATAATGCGAGTAATGGATTCAGAATTTGGCCTTGAATGCTTAATTTGAATGTGTGCGTCTGAGCACAGAAAAAAAATATTTTGCCACTTTGTGAGTAATCGCAAAAAAAGGTGTGACAGATGCTCATAAGGAAGAATGTATCCAAATGAGATTTCCGAAAGAATAGATGAGTTTCAGACGGCCTGAGCCTTTTCTCCTCACTCCTTGTCGGTCCCTCGAGATAAAGCTTGACTTGATGTCACAGTCACGCTGGATGCTGACATACAAACTGACAATGCGTCACAAGCATAATGTGAGATGAAAAAAAGATACATTTTTCACTTACATTTACATATGTGGTTACATGAGGTGGCTGTGGATTACAAAGTTGATCCTGAAAGGGGGGCCGGGGTAAGTTATTGCACTGAACCATGCGCTACATGTTGGTTATCTCTCGCTGATAGCCAGCTTTCCAAAACATTAATAAATCCAGCCGTGTTGACGGCTCTGTGAGTTTACTTGCATTTACAATCTTAAAGTAAAACCACTGTAGAGGAAAATTGAAGTTGGATTAAAAAAAATGAATGAATAGATAGATAAATAAGTGTTCTGCTGGGGCGGTCTTTAAAATGGATGCCTGGAATTTACAGTTTTCCATTAACTGATGCCCACCAGCTTTTTTCACGCCTTAGAACCAGTGCCGTGTGTGTGTGTGTGTGTGTGTGTGTGTCACTCAGCAAGCAGTCTTCATTTCCACAGCATTTTTTTTTTACTTCAACGTGTCAGTTTGCCTGCTCTCCTGCCTTTGGGGCTTTCAAACATTATCGCTGTGTACTGGGAAAATCACACATCAGCATAAACAGTGGCGGAGCCCGATTACTGCTACCATCAATGGAAGCAGCCGTTTCAAAAGGGGATAATTTGTTGATAAAATCTTCTTGCAGTGTTTCCTCTACATTTGTAGAGAGCAAAGCACAAATCAAGCTCCAGGAGATAATACCTATAATTATGTTTGCACTCGCAGGTTTATGACGGGATGGCTTAGTTACACACACAACTCTGTAAATCATATTTGATCACTGCTGAAGTTTTTTCTTGCCGTATTTGTTATTTTCTCCTTCCCTTCAGTTGTATGTGCACGTTTTTCCGGTAAAGGATTATTATTTCTCTGCTGGTGGGATCACATCGCTCATGGTTGTAGACCCCTGAAAAATTCTATTAACCCTGGTTATGTGGGGCCTAATAACATGCCACCCTGCTTAGCAGAAAAGGATTGACTTGAAGGAGGGTGTGTGTGTGAGACAATGTAAAGTAATTTACTGTGGAATCCAAGGGAATATAAAAATTGGCAGAATGTGTGGTCATCTTTTTTTTCTCCTGTCCTGTCAAACTGCAACCAACATAATAATAAAAAAACACATGCCTTTTGAGTAAGGGTGTGTGCGTTTGTAAAACCATTGCCTCAGCGACGTAGCCCGGCTTTCTTTGTCGCTCTGTAGATCTGATGCAGAGTGCTGCGGTTCGTTATATTTGCCATTCATTAGCCAGCAGTGAGGAGATGTCAGGGCGCATTCACTTGGCCGGGACACTCGCGTGAGAGCGAGCGTCAAATCAATTCAGTCACCTTGAACTTTGAAGATGAAAGATTATTATGTTGGCTTTGGTCTTCTTAGCCTGCATGGCTGTTCTAAAACCCCTGCAGCCCCCCCTTACTGCTACTGAATATATTGGAGGAGTTGGGGAAAAACAATGTCCACATCAGCTGATTGCTGAAGCCATCAACGGTTTTGTGTTATGGAGCTGTGCTATATGATAGCCACCGGAAGGTCCTGCAGACACTTTTTAGTGGGCATGGTTCTCAACTCGATGCGAAGAAAACACTGGCATTGTACTTTCTACAAAGCACACAATGTGAGAAGGTGGACATTATTAAGTGAAGTTAGTGATGTACTATATGGAGCGAGTGTTATTGAAAGTTATGCGGCATAATTCCTTTCCAAGTCCCATAAGGGACCAAACAAACCCAGTATTTCCACCTACAAGACCGCTGTTCATGTCCTGTTTAAGACCAGAAGGTTACTTAACACTTACACGTATTGTAAGAAAAATACCTAAAAAGGTGGTATTTGTTGTTACGTTACATTCTGACCTTATGCTGAAGGTATGCTATGTTACTTGAGTTGCGTTAACATTAAGTTACCAAAGCTATTTGCCACTGCCAGGGTATTAATGTTTTATTATAGTTAGAAAAAATAAAAAGCAAGTTCACATTTATACATCGGTTTTCTTAATTTAATATATCCACCAATATCTATGTTCGGTTGCCCTTGTTACAATGAAGTACTCCAGCACTAAGTACACAGCTGGGACTCTTTAGTCTGAAGTCCATGTTTGTACTGGAGTTCCTTTGGAGAATCTCAGTCAAGCAAAAAAAAGAAAACACTTTCAGTGAGGCAGGTTATTAATAACTTTGGTTCGATCAACTCCGGTGGGAAAAGATTTAAAATGAAAATGTCTTCGTAAGATACCATTCGCCATTTTGCTGCTGCAGCAGTCTTAGGCCGGCCCCCCAAATTATTATGGTTACTCTTATTGGTTGAGAACCGTGATGACACCCCTCCCAAGCCAATACTGATCAACATCCCCCCTCCTGTGACGCTTTGGTTGTCTATATTTGTAATCAGAATTCAAAACTATTATAATAAAAATCTGTTTACGCACAATAAAATTGTCGGAATTAATTGGAGACAATTACGCAGCAATGTTTGCAAAAAACAATTTAAAAAATAAGTATGCAATACACTTTTCAATTAATTATTGAATTTTGCACAGAACTGAGCAATAACTCGCAAACCTGATTTTTCTTCATTGCCGAGCACTAGTTATTGTGTTGCGTTATTGTTACCTAGTTCTGTTACGCTACCATGTTATGTTACGTTATTCTTCTGGCTCAAACCTAGACAAAAGCAGTTTGAGTCATATCCAGGAATCTGTATTTTGTTATTGTCAACGGATCTTATAAAAAGCAACACAGCAGATGTGTTGTTTCTTCTCTTAATGATCCCATTAATTTCCACTTACGAAGGAAATCTTGAAAAAAAATAAAATAAAAGTCACATTAGATTGATTACTAGCTGTGTTGTTGTCATCTGAATGTTCTGAACATGCCCGGTCCAGTAAAGATGCTAAGACTAAGCAGCGTGATGTTTGGCTAGATGACAAACTAAACATAATCTGCAACATAACATTTTTTTTTTTTTTAAATATAAAAAAAACTCCTTCAACCAATTGTTGTACCAACTTGCCAGGAAGCTCTTAAATCAAACCATAACATTAAGTGCTTTTAGTAATTTAACAAACTTAATGCAAAAATATGCAGAGAGGAGCTATATTACGTAGGATGATATACACTAAATATAATTTCGATTAATACTACTTTAATGGAGTCATTTTAAGTCACTATTCAACAATGCTTCCAACAGAGTCTGACCTCTGACCTGATATGGTATTTGATGTTACGCTTTATTTCAAAGCAACATTTGGCTCCTCGGTCAGAAATAATCTATCTGCACCGAGGTGAAACAAAGCTTTACATGTGTTCGGCCTCTATAAATTATACATTGTTATGTAAACACCACTAAGGCCAGCAGCTGTTTGTTTCCTACCAGGGCTCTGTTCCTAGTACACGGCTAACTGAGTTAGCTGGATCATTTTCAGGATCAGATTACATAGATTCAGCTTTTCGGTTCCACAAAGAGAGTTTGGCAAAATCACCATAGACAAACACATTTCAGGCTAAGTTAGCTAGAAAAGCTCACCACCCCCCCGGAAAAAAGGGCAGCTCATTGATGAAGAAGGGATATTAGTTAGGAGAGAGTTCTCAGAGATCACCAAGATCAGTTATCATATCACAATGACTTCCTGTACGAGCGCTAGTGATGCTGCTGACAGGGGATCATTTATTTAGACATTACAAGACATTCTTGAGCCGTACACGGTGAACAGCATACGCCGCAGCCACGCATTCACTATCATGCACATTTCAATACAAAAAAATGAAAAACACTTTTTATGATGATGATTTACTGATTTAAAATAAATCTCCCTCTTGACCTGTGATGCGACGGGAAAAAAAGGATTTGTGTGGAAAATGCACTCACACAATGAGAGCTTGTGGAGAGAATTGTTTTTAAAAAAGGCTAAATTTTTGATCATTTAGTGTAGACTTTAAAACTTTTGTGGGGTGCAATGGACGGACAGTATTTTCCCTGTGTGTACGCTTGCATTGCGTGCGCAGTACAGAGGAGAATTGTAAATGTGCAACCATGTAGAAACAGAAATTACATAAGATGACTACAATATGGTTGAAATTACACTGACAATAAAACACACTGCACGGCAGCAGAAAGACGTGAAGTTCTATTTCTGTGAATTAAAACAACCTTTCTGACAATAAACAGGTGGATGAACCGTAGTCTAGCAAATCAATTCAGATTAAAACATAACAAAAAAGGTCAGAGGTAATCCTATGAGTCTCAGTGAGATGCTGGGCTTCCATAGGAAAGGCTAAAGCTTGAACCAATTGGTACATCACTCAGTCGATCAAGATATCCGTCATGAGGAACCTTATCTTGATTGGTTGTAACGGCTCCTTGCTTTTCACGTGTTTGAGTAGGTTTCCTGACAGGTATACGAGACTGAAACGAGTTTGTTGTCACTATTGTATATTGATTTATTACTAGTTGTGCTTTTGAGGAGAAGTTTTGTTAATGATTTAGTGACACGGGTTAACTAGAGTCAAATAATTGGAGTATTTACTCAGATTATTTCTGAAAATGATTTATTGCTCATCATGCTCATAAAAGAGAGTTCAACATGACCTTTAAATGTTGTGAGCAGACATGTTATCTGTACGGCGTGCAGCGTTTGGCCACCATGGCCCAGACGGCGCCCTTCTTACCGTAGGTAGTCTCTTCGGCACAAGATGAGGTTGGCTTTGGTGTAGAGCGTGGAGCCCACCTCGCCCAGCCTGCAGTCACAGCAGGCACACTTAAGGCAGTCCTCGTGCCAGTACTTATCAAGGGCCTTCAGCAGGTAACGGTCCTTGATCTTCCGGTTGCAGCCGGCACAGCCTTTTGGCTTGGTGTCCGGCTGGACGGAGAGCATTTGTATACCTGGGAGAAGCACACAACGAGTATACTATAAAGCAAGAACAATATTCACGTATTTAGCACCAACTTCAAATGAAATAAGAAACACGAGTTCATGGACAATCTCTTTTTGTTATCCATAAACACAGATTTGAACCTGAATTGCCACACAGACAATTATGTTTCATACACACTATGTATTTTGTACTACTCCAACTCATTCAGTGGGGTCTCACACCATCAGATCAGATAGTTTGAAACAAAAGAAAGTATACTCAAAATGTTAGCAGACTCTAGAGATATTGGTGGACTGTACAAAGAGTTGTAAAAATATAACCACTTTGCGTGTGATGAGGCCAGTCTTCTTGGGAGGACCGAAAAACAAAAACAAAAAAGACTTTTTCCCCCCGTACAGTACACACTAATAGTAGGAAATTGTGCTTTTCAAACATTTTCAGCTTTTTTATCATTTCCTTTACCCCGTTGGTCATGGAAGGTACCATTATTATTTGTGATTTAAAGTGGTATTCAAGCAACACTATACAAAACGTGTTTAGCAGCAGGTGTTAAAGGAAAGTCCTAGTCCCTATAAAACAACAGCAAGCCGTAGAAAGCCAGACGAAGAAGTCACCAGTAAGATGACAACAAACCAGCAATAGCAGCTGTCCTGCCTCGGCGCTGTGAGCCCACACAGACACAAAGACACTGTTTCACATCCATGCCAGGACACCTTTTCTCTTTTGCTTTTTTACTTTGACCTCCTCTGTGTTTAACGGGGTGTGGTTACAGGCGAGAGCTTTGCAGCAGCCTGTATTGTTTGGCCTGAGCTGACCGTGGAGAGCCTTTGTTGGCCCATTGGGGGGCAAGAAGGGAGGGGTTTGGGGGATAATGTGGCCTCCACCGGGCAGGAATTAGTATTCTCCTATCATTCCCTGAGGAGAGGCTCACCCCCACTCCCTTTTGTGCCCCATTCAACACAACATCTTAGTTGTATTCATTTTTTCTGCATTTTTTCTATTTAACCATTTCAACTAAAAAAAAATCTCTGCACATGCCATTTCAAAGTAGAAAACATGTTTAGTGTCAATGAAATCATTACGGCGGACCGTTTGTAAAGGATGTTTTGTTGTGGTGTACTTTTTCGGGGATTTGTTCATGCCTCTCTAACTAGAGGGAAACCATTTGATTGCATTGATGTCACAACAGTTATTGGGAAGAAAAGTTGTGCCATCAAAAATGTACAAATCCTGTCAGCTGTCATGACCGTGTGTGCTACAGTCTGCGCTGACAACGCGGGATGACTGATGCTTCACCAGGGTCATCCTGAAGTTTACTGTATTCAAATGTTGTAAATACACACAGCGTTAACACTAGAACACATGTTTCCAAACTAACCCAGTTGCATTAAATAGAACTCATTGGCATTCAAAACACTTTATGGTCCTTGAATAAAGTATCACTACACATCAAGATGATTGGTCTCACCTGTCACCCATTTTAGATAAATCATCTGCAGAGGCGTATCAAACGGGCCACAGTGGGAGCAGCTCGCTTGGCTGTTGATTTGTTAATTGGCTGGATTTGGGAGCGTGGCCGCGCGTACGTTGAGCGGCACTGATCCGCCCGGGCCTCGTTAACACTACAAAGTCCCCGCTGCTCATTACCAAACCAAAGGAGAGAGAGAGAGAGTTTCGACTCACCCTTCATTCTTTTTACTGTGCAATCAACCCGGAGGGGTTAGAAGAAGAAGCACGGCAGGAATTTGACCACTTCGCTTTTCGGCTTGCCGAGGGGAAGTGCCGAACAAAAGCCTCATTTTGTCCGTGAGTGGAAGGGGATCACAGCTGCTCGCAGCCCTAATGATATCTGTAGTGTTTGTGCGCCGGCTCGTATCCCCAATCTCCTCTTCTCTCCCTCATTGTGGACTTGAAGGCGGCTGCTGTTGCCGCGCGTACGCGGCCACACGCATCATCACCCGAGCCGGATGGAAGAGGACGGCGAGCGGCGCGGAAAAGAGCTGCTATCTCAGTCCAAGAAGATGCTGACATTTCACAGTTTAATTACTGTTGCCATGGTAGCGGATAGCTGGTAAAAGGCCAATAACGGAGACTAAATTTACCATGCGGCTGTGACAAGCAGCCGGGCGATCAACAGACACGACATCCGAGCACGTCTCCGTGACGTCCTGATGAAAGGGACATCCGCCGAATAACTCGGAGGGTCGGTTGGGTTTAGAACGACGGCGGGTCGGACGCGGACGCGTCGCGCACGACGCAGAGCGATGCTGCAACTTGCGACGCCGCAGCGCACACCAAAACACCACACGCACACGCGAAGCACGCCAAACGTGCCGTTTTACACACAAGCCAAAGCGCAAAGTACGCGTCCTTACCGAAACTTTTCTCCCTTTTCTGCATTTGTTGAGCCCGCTGAGGCGCCTCACCACGCCAGGTCCGGGGAGCTGCTGTCTGCAGGCAGGCTAGGATCGGGGGGCGCTTTGTTAGAGGGAACGATCCGACACGGCGACCAGCGAGGAATGGGAATGGAAAAGGAAGGCGGTGGGTAAAGGAGAGGAGGGAGGGCGTGCGAAGGGGGAGGTCGGGGGGGAGGGTGGGGGGTGGCAATATGCAGGCGGATGTGATGAGCTCCAGCAAGCTTTCACGCAGCGTGTGGGTGCACGTTTTTCACATCGCCGCGCGGAGATGTACTTGTGGGGAGAGACGCTTCTCCCGGTCCGCGCACCTCCTCTTGTCCCGCGGAGTGCACCGCTAATCAGCGCTTAGGACTCCGAACGGCTCCCTCGATCTACTGTTCCTCTTTGATTGTTCAAATAGCCAAGCCCTGCGTGGAAACTGAAATAATTCCAGCTTGGTTTTGGTGATGGAGAACATTCAAACCACGAGCAAAAGGTGAGCGTTTCAAATTCTTACTCACCTTTCTCAAGAAGTTAAGAGGAAATCCCGACTGAACTCCAGCGGCGGATTCAGCTACAGATCCTCCTCTGAACAGGACACAAATAAACAAGAGAAGAACTTTACCAAGTTGACAGCGCTCTCAAGGAGCGAGGATGAGGTCCACGTGGATCGGAGGCTGTACACCAGCTACAGGTGCTCAAGCAGTGTGAGCGTGCACAAATAGTGCGCGAGGGGCTCAGGCCGGCGGGCGTCCTCAATGTATCAGCGAGAGTGGCGAGAGACGTACGTCGAGTCGAGCTTTATTATCTCCAAAAAAAACAACCCCTCACCGGAGAAACATTCCACCGCCGCGATAAGGTCGCTGACTTCTTACAAAGCGCTCCTCGATCTGACGGAGAGGCGTGCGCGCCCCCGGAACGCCCATTTCCGCCCATCTACGTTCAATCTCGGAACTTTCGGTGCGCGCGGCGCTCATTCTGTGATACACCGACCGGGCAAAACAAGTTTGGTCACTAATGGTGGCGGTGCAGCATGCTGCGTTCAAAGACCCGTGATTGGGAGAGTCATTGTGACACCTGCCGACGTGCGTCCTCACAAGGCCGTGGTTGTTGAGAGTTTTAACAATTGCAATCCTGACAGTATTGAAGTGACACAGAAGGACGCGCACACAGTACACTCACGCACACTTTGTTTGATTTGAAAAAGCTAAATCAGAGACAACTGTCTAGTTTATTGGGAGCTCTATAATGCACCTTACAACAAATCGGTCCGTACTTTGTAATAATAAAACGAATAGTTGCAAAAGTTGTTCAGATAATCAGAAAACCAGATCACATATACAACATGGATAATTGAATCAATCAATTAATCCATCAATCTCAGGTCATGTTAGGTCCCGAGTGCCGCCGCCGCCGATCTCCACTGTACAGCCTCTACTTCAATGTGTCTGGTATTCGAGGATGGGATTATTATTTGTGCCTTGTTATTGCACTCTGGCAGACAAACACACGTACACCGACAAACATACTCTCTCTCGCTCACACACACAGATACCGAATACATCTCTGGCACCATTCAGCGCCCAAAGACGCGGCCTTGACAAGTGGAAGTTAGTCTGTTAAATAATCTGGGATGGGAGCTGTGGTAGGAGGAGACAAGTCAATAGTTGGCATGCGACTCCAGCCTAAAACGAAGCGATAATGAGATGGGTCATAAAATGCTCTCTGCACCATTATGAATGATGCGATGCATTAAAGCTGACAGGGTATTACCTGCCAGTAATTAGGTTTTGTCATGGATTGAATTATTTCAAGGCGGCCTATCTCGGTAATCATGCAATTTTCCCGCAGCGCGCCCGTACGTGCGTGTGTGTGGAGTGTGGGCCACCGCTCTCGCGGTGCCCTTCTGATCCGTTACTCGTCCTCCCGAGTGAATGGAAGATGGAGACAGAAGGCAGCGGTGCAGGATGGAGGGACACGCGCTGTAGGCCTCCAAAGGAAACGGGCACCTGCTTACCAGCTCGCGTGTTACGACCGAGCGGAGGATAAGTTATGTTGTATTACCTAACATTGTGTTTATGTGTTATCAACCCAGCCCAGAAGCACACAACCGGACAGAACACGTACCTTTAGCAGTCCAGAGATGCCCAAAACAGAGCGGCCAGTGGGTCGCTGCAGCAGCGCTCGTCTTTGACCCAAAGTGTCCACGAGGCAACTTTTTCCCTCAGAGATACGCGCAACTCCCGCCTGTCTAAGAGAAAACTTGGTGACAGGTTCTCAAGTTCTCAGACGTACCTAAAACTCGGCTCCCCACCCAGCGGCTCTCTGTGCGTCCTGCACCCGGCTCACAGGTCGTCTCTCTTTCACTCTCCCCCTATTTCGCTGCTTCCTCGCCCCTGTCCGTCGGCGCTTCTCTCTGGCTTCTCTGGCAGGGAAGAAGAAAGAACCGCCAGTAAGCGGAGCCTCTCTCCTATTTAAGCCCCTCCACCAGGTCCCCAGTCAGCCGCACACTCCAGCTCATCCAAGAGGCTGACAAGCACCGTTAGGGAAGGCAGCGCATGTTGCTCTAATGGACCTCATTAAGCTCTACTTACAGATGTTCTCTTAACATAATTGATCTGCAGCGAGTTGAGAGGACGGCAACCTATTCCCCAGTCCCCAATTATGGCCCGGTAATTAGATCCCCAACCTCCAGTTCTCCACATTCACCCTTCTAACATTCCGAAATATCAAAGTATCTCTTTCTCTCAAAGCGACCGCCCCCCAACTACCCCCACCTCGCCCCCAAGTCCGCCCCCCTCCCACCCACAAGATACTATTGACAGTCAGATCTGCTAACCTTTGTAGTGTAGTCAGACTCAGCAGTGCTCTCTCTCTTTCTCTCTCTCGCTCGCTCTACAATTGACAGAGCTCACTCATTCTTTTCTCCATCGCCTCTCCCCGCCCCGAGAGAGAGAAAGAGAGAGAGAGAGCGAAGGAGAGGAAAAACCGAGAGGAAAGGGGGGGTGGGGGGTGAAGGTAAGTTAGCACTTCTGTTAGGGGAGAATCTTTTTTTCTTAAATATTCCTCTGATGGCAACTTTGAATAGAGAGAGGGGGGGTAATAGTGACTTTTGTGAAGTCAATCAGTGCCACTTATATCACCCATCTTTAGCCAGAGTGCTAAAACAAAAAGCACTTTGGGAGATGGTAATGTCACCCTTTTACAATTTTCCCAGTGTTGTATAAAAAACGAATATTTGTGATGGGATATGAAGTATTTCCTTTAATTTATAGAGTAATGGCTCTTTGTTGGGAAAACTCACTAAAGAATAACAACATACATGTCAGTAAGATTTAAAATAAACCATCGGATGGGGATATGTCATTTAAGGTGTGCAATGTGAAAAATTCCAAATATCCAAAAACATATAGAGTAAACATAACAACACGAAAACGCAATCGGAACGTCCTACTTTGATGTGGTGCGGCAGTATGTATATTAAACCACTATAGACTATAGTTACGTCTACCATTGATTTTTACATGATTACAATGCAAATAAGTACAGTGTATGTGTTTACTCTTCCCATGCTCAGCATTTCTGTGCATTCTCTCTTGTCATTTAAACTTTTCAGTGTGCAGTTTGACACTCCCCCACTCATTTAAAACATGAGAAAAATGACAAAGGATTCAAGGGAAACAAAAGACAGGCAGCAGGTGTTTCAAACAGCTGAAACAACTTCTGGCTGTGGTCGTGTTGATATCATCCTGTCATGATTAGCAGATGTGAACGGTCTGTCTCATCAGGGATGTTTTAGATGGCTGTCCTTCCACAAAATTCTCACCGAGGGTTTTGACATTTACTTGAAGACACTTCAGCACCTATCTGCTGTCATTCTCTCCTGTGGAGCCCCAAAGGCTGACCAGGAGCTTAAGGATTGGATGCTGCACTTTGGTCCTCCAGCACCTCATGCACACACACAGACACACACACACTCTTCCCCCCTAGGGGGATAAGTCAGGGGACTGTCTACACTAACGACCAGCAGCGCCTCTCCTTAAAGTCACAGTCGGTAATTGCCGCCAGTATACGACCTTCAAGTGGGGTCAAGGGATACGTAATTTGAATGACAACTTTTCTTCTCCCCCGAAGGCCAATTTTGTCTTTTGGCAGAAAGAGAGGTGGTAGAGCTAAGTTCCACAGTCATCTTTCCGAAAAGAAATATGAAGAATCACCTTCAGTAATGGGTCAGAAGGGAGCTGTCCAAATCTAAAGAATAGCTTGGCCAAAGAGTATTGACCCTTCTTATAACTCCGCTGAGAGTTAATGGAGATTACTTAATTTAAGAGCCTATTCATTTAGTCTGAATATAAAACAAGGATAGCACCAGTCAAAGAGCTGGGATTTGTGTCGGAGGCCGGTCTGGTGTCTGACTCTGAAGTCGGGGGCGGGGGGCTATTGGAGGACAGAACAGCAACCAACAAGAAGAAACGGCTTTAAGTTTTGGATTACCAGACATGTTTGTTTGTTTATTTCAAGACTATATGGTATCCGCACACTGAACGGAAGTGGAGTAAAACATGGTAAACATCAGGGGCTTGGCCCAGATTTTGGGGTTTGTGGGGTCTCATTTAGTGCCATTTAAAGTGTTTTTTTCTGTAAAGCCCTCTGAGGCAAATCATTTATTTTCAGGCATACAAAGTAAAATTGAATTGAATGGAATCTCCAGCATACATGTATGGACTTGCCAATAAGGAATTACAGAATATGTTTGAAAAACTGTTCATCATTGGAGAAAATCCTGATAGTTGCTCTCCACACCCCACTTGGTTTATGTTTGTTGTTGAGTTGGAGAACTGTTCATCATGCCGGGGGACTAAATTCTGGCACATTACATTTATATTTACATTACATGTAATTTAGCTGACGCTTTTATTCAAAGCAACTTACAATAAGTGCATTCAACCATAGGGATACAAACTCAGAAAAGCAAGAAACAAGAAAGTGCAATTGCATCAAATAAGCCAATTTACAATTTGCAATAGATAAGTGCCATTATAAGTACAATTAAATTGCTACAATTTGTTAGTCTCTTAGTCAAGGTACAAAAAAGGAGGAAACCATTGTCTGATAGTATTAAGTCACATAAAAGAGAGAGAGAATAGTAATAAACAATATTACTAATCTTAAAACCTCTTTTTGTTATAGCATACTGGATTAGAATCCACATAATGAATGTTTAGTTGACAAATCTGCTTAAAGTTAATGTGGTCTCCAATACTCAGAATTCAATATTAGACTAAAAAGAACATTTGCTCAGTTATGCTAGATTTCTGTGGGGAATAGTACAGTAAGACAATTTTATTGTGGACATTCATAGAAATATAATTCCAGTGATAGAACCTCTGCTCTATTCATTTGCCGTTCCAGTCCAAAAGACTATGGTCAAGCCTTTTTAGAAACTCATCATCTTACAGTGTTTTATTTAACAGCTTATCCAAGGCCAAAATCCCTAAGCAACACTTTCTAATCAGGTCACACGTCTCACTTAATACACACCATAACATGTATGTGGGTTAAAGGTTGACTGACTTCATCTGGAGGGATCTCAAAAATAGTTCTCTACTACTCTACTCTGCCTGTCCCAGCCTCTTAAGTTATCTAATTATCATCGGTCTATTTATGCCTCTACAGACCTAATGTCCATCAGGATGGAAACTCAGGGCTCCATATCTTTGGATGCAAGTCACCCCCTTTATGCACAGGGCTCTCCCCGCCACAACGCAGTGACAGTCTGAGAATCCCATTAACAGTTTTCTTCATGGGAGACTTATTGGGTAAAAAAACACAAACCCAACAGGCTCCATAACATCACGTTGGCCCTGACAACCTCAAATCCCACTGTAGTGTCATAACAAATGCGGAGCAGTTGTTGGCCCCCAGTTTGAAGTTTAAACTGTGAACAATGTTTAATGTGTCAGGATTAGACATGCAAATTGATTTAAAACATAGTAAAACCTGTGTAGAATTATGAATTACATCCGACAAGTTTGATGTGCATGTACTGTAAGCACAGAAGTTTCTCTGGATATTTCACCACACTCTGTTGCTTGTTGATCGGTCTTGTGAAATTGTGGGTTGACAGCATACAACATCACTCCAATTAGAGCCTGCAGATGGAGCCGATAGCTGCTACCTGCAGATGGTTGTAAAGAGAGTCACCGGAGTAAAGAAGAGACCAGCTGAACACTCATTTTTCAGATTGCAATACCCAACTGAATGGGAATGTCCAGGTACCAGGGCTGCGCTACTTGCTGTGCACAGCACATAAAGCCCACAACGGCTTCAACTCATGTGCAAATCTGCAATTGTGTCTGTTGATATTTGGCACATATCTAAATGAATATTTAAACCCCCAGTGTGTGGCATTTTTTCAGGATCTACAGTATTATCAAAATCAATCCTAATATTGATTTTAGTATAGTAGTAGTACTATAGTAGTACTACTTGTGAAGAATAGGTATGAGCAATGCTTGTAGTGGTTAAGGTCTGTCTTTACTGGTTTCATGCAGATAACTAAATCACTAATAAAATAAAATGATATAAAATAGTTCAAAGCATGATCATTAAAGATACACAACCTAAGTAGGCTACATTGAAACTTAAAATGAAAAGTTTGAAAATTAAATGCCAGTAAGTACACAATTAAGTATCAAGTCTTCAAGTATTGTTCTATTTTAATAAGTGGTATTGACGCTTCTCAATATTTTCTGTTAAAACACATTTTGCTGAAATTCTACATGCCAGGGAGCACAGGCCTAGTTCAAGTATAACATTGAACTATATTGACAGTACATTGACAGTAACAGTAAGATCCAAGGCGAATGCCTGTCTCATTTCTAGTCCATTACATTCTTGTTGCTAAGCCACATTGATCCATGAACAATAATATAAATAGGGAAATTATATATGTAAAAATATACTGTTTGATGCCCTTACACATACCAGCACACACACAGACACACACGCACCCTGACAACATCTTAACACTAGCTTTCTATCTCTATTTTACACTAATGCTCACTTATTCATTACCATAAAATATTATTTCTCCAAGCCTTTAATAACCTTCAACAATAAAAGGATGGTAACTGCTACATAATATCTATCGATTCCTTCCAGTTTGATTTCCTTGAGTAGTTTTGGCTGAAATTACTTGTGTGTTCAGAACTGAGCATTTCAAACAGCCTGCCATATACCTCAGCAGCAATCAATCAGCCTTAATCCAAAACCAATTTACTCCGCCTGAAGAGGAAAATATCTTTTAATCTCTTGCCGACAATCCCTGATTGCGGTGCAGAGCATCAGTTGACAGTCAAACTGTGCCGCTTAGAATGGAATGTTTATATTGGATTTGCGGTTGCCATTTTTACATACACATGAATGAATAGTCAATTTAATACATGTGAGATCAGTTTTCCCTCTCTGATGGGGGATTGCTTCCCATGACATCTTTTCCAACAGCATATCCTGTTCCATCCTCAAACACAGTGTAACCAGAAAAGGTCATCACACAATAAAAAGCTATTTTCCTTTTGCCCAAATTGGAGAGAGAAATACTCTAGTGTAGGTAGATTTCTGTCTTTATTATACAGACAAAAAACATATTTTGGAAA